AACAGCTGCCATCCGAGGAAGGCAGGGAGGGAGGAGATCGGCTGGGGACCCCATGCGCCAGAAGTTGCCGGCCCACCACCTGCTCTAAGGTGACCAAGCAGGATCACTATGCTGAGGTTCAATCAAGTTCTTAGGGGTTCTTCATTCTTTTGGGCCACTTTTCTTTAGAATGGGCACAAATACAGATTTCTTCCAGTTTGTTGGCTAGATTTCTTGGTATAGACTAGTGAGTGCTTCCAACGCTACATCAGTTTGTTGAAACATTTCAATTGGAATTCTGTAAATTTCTGGAACTTTGGGTACTTTGTTCTTCCCCCAAATCTTTAGACAGTTTATATGTCTTTCTTCGGTACCATCAGTTCTTGATCATATGCTTTCTCTTGAAATAGTTGAATGGTGGCTAATTCTTTTTGGTACAGTGACTCTGTATTCCCTTCCATCTTTTGATGCTTCTCTTATGGTTTAGTATTTTGCCCACAGGATCTTGCAGTATTGCCACTTGAGGATCAAAAGTTTTTTTTTTTCTTTTCAGTTCTTTCAGCACGAAAAATGTTGCACGTGTTCGTTCTTTTGAGGTTCATAACTCCAGGTCTTTTTTTTTTTTTTTTAACTTCACGTCTTTTGCATATTTCATTCTCCTTGACTTTGTCTTCTCTACTTGTCCTTTGAAATCTTCTGTTCAACTGTTTTAATTCATTTCTTCCATTTGCTTTGTTGTTGTTGTTGTTAAGTACTGTTGAGTTGATTCTGACCCATAGCGACCCTGTATAGGGTTTCCGAGGAGCAGCTGGTGAGCTTGAACCACCGACCTTGCAGTTCAAACGACTTTGCAGTCTGGCGCATTAGCCACAGTGTCACACCAGGACTCCTCCATTTGCTTTAGCTACTCTATGTTCAAGAGTAAGTTTAAGACTCTCTTCCAATATCCATCTTAGCCTTTCTTTTGTTCCTGTCTTTTTAATGCCCTTTTGCTTTCTTTTCTTTATGCTTGATATCCTTAATATCATCTCATAACTCATCTGGTCTTTTCTCATTAGTGTTCATTGTGTTAAGCCTGTGTTCTCTAACTAAGTTCATGTAAGATATATTCAACGTTGTAGTTTAGTTCTAATGAACTTGTTTTAATTTTCTTCATGGACTTATAATTTTCTTCGGCTTCAGTTTGAACTTGTGTATGAGTTATTGATGATCTGTTTCATAGTCGACCTCTGGCCTTGTTTACACTAATGATATTGAACTCCATCATCGTTTTCCAGAGATGTAGTCAGTTTGATTCTTGTGTATTCCATTTGGTGAAGACCACGTGTTTACAGTGTTGAAAACAGATATTTACAGTTCATTTCCTTGTTCTTGCAAAATTCTGTCTTGCGGTCTCCAGTAACATTTCTGTCACCAAGGCCATATTTTCCAGATACTTATCCTTTTTCTTTGTTTCCAATTTTAGCATTCCTGTAATTATCAGTACATTTTGATTACCTATTTGATCAGTGTCAATCTGCAGAAGTTGATAAAAATAATCAACTTTCTCATCTTTAGTATTAATGATGTTGTTGTTGTTAAGTACTGTGGAGTCAGTTCTGACTCAAGTGACCCTGCACAGGGTTTCCGAAGCTGTAAATCTTTATAGGAGCAGAAAGCCTCATCTTTCTCCCACAGAATATCTGGTAGTTTCCAATTGCCAACCTTGAGGTTAGCAGCCTAATTCATAACTACTATACTTCTAGAGCTCCTTAGTATTAATGATACTTCCTTGACATGTGGATCTTTTCCTTACACTGACCGTGTTGTATTCCAGTATACATCTTAAAGTGTTCTTTTTGATGATAAATATGGTGATGCTGCTCTTGTTGAATTTGTCATTCCCGGCATGGTAAAACATGATTGTTTAATTCAGAATGGCCAGTACCAGTCTATTTCAGTTCACTGGCTCCATAGGGTAAGCACGGTACTGCAAACCAGCCTGCTTCAAGGGAAAAAATGAGGCTTTCTGCTCCCACAAAAATTACAGCCTTGGAAATGCTATGCAGGGTTGCTGTGAGTTGGAATTGATTCCATAGCACTTAGTAACAATAACTAACTGTGATGCCATTGAGTCCTGGCATGGCACTGTACAATAAGCACTGAACTGCTTATGGCAAGTTTGGTGGGCCACACCCATCAGCTGCTCCTTAGAAATCCTGTATATGATGGTTATGAGTTGGAATGGGTTCCATGGCACTTAACAACAACAATGCCCATGATATCAATTTTATGTGTTTCATTTCATTTTTGATGACTTACTGTTTTTCTAGATTCTTACTTTGTAGATTCAACATTCTCTTAACCTGTATAGGTTTCTGAGGTCACTTAACAACAACTATAATCATCCTATATATAAAAAGGAACATCATTTAGTATGAGAAATGTGTGAATGATAACTATACAGAACTTATGTTTTTTACCTATCATGCAGGTGAAAATCTAAAAGTGAGAATAAATTGTAGTTACTCTTAGAGTATGAGTAGGTATAGTTTCTATGGAGGGTGACTTTACAATAACCACAAAAATTAAAATAACATCATTGAACCCAACAATTCTACTGCTGGATTTTATAGTTACCTCTCATATAGGAGTCTTGGTATAGTGCTATGGGTCAATGCGCTAGACTGAAAGGTCAGTTTGAACCTCAAGGTTGGCGGTTCAACCTCACCAGCTACTCCTTGGAACCCCTATATAGGGTTGCTATGAGTCAGAACCAACTTGACAGCATTTAACAACAACTTATCATATGTAAGGATCTTGGTGTGGCGCTCTAGATTAATGTGCCAGACTGTAAAGCCATTTGAACTGCAAGATTGGCGGTTCAAGCTCACCAGCTGCTCTTTGGAAACCTTATACAGGATCGCTATGGGTCAGAATTGACTCAATGACACACAACAACAACAACAACAACATATGTGAAATAACTTTCATATATGGCTATTTCACATAAGCAGCTAAGGTATTCACCTGTAGGGTTCTGAGTAAATCATGATGCATCTTTACAATGGAATGTTGTGATATGGTGAAAAAAGAAATGAGAATACTCATATTGAAGCACCAGAAAAGGTCTGAAACAGTGCTGCTTTATTATGCCAGGTGGAAAGATTTTAATATTTACACCTAAGTATATTTCTGCTGTGCATGGGGTCGCTATGAGTCAGTTCCGACTCGATGGCACCTGACAACAACAACAATATTTTAATTTGGAGTCCTGGTGTGGCAGTATGAGTTAATGCTCTGGAAAGTCAGTTTAAACCGCAAGGTCGGCGGTTCAAGCTCACCACCCACTCCTCAAAAGCCCTGTGGATCAGCACTGACTCAACGGCACTTCATAGCAACAACAACAACAACACAATAAATGATAGGTAATAAGATAAGAACAGTTATATTTATATTTTTAAAAGCTGAGAGGATATGCCAAAACAAACAAACAAAAAGTCCCACATGAAAATGAGGGTAGGTGCAGGGATATCACTAATTTTATTTTGATTTTAGATTTATTTGACTATTATTTATATAAAAACAACCAAGATTTTTAAAAAAATGTAGCAAAATGCCTCTTGAATTTTCCACCAAAGTAATGACTAGAGGAGATTATATAAACAACGGGGTATGTGTAATTGAAACTTGAACTGACCAGTTTCCTAAAAAATTTTTGCTTTATCTAAAAATCTGTGGACGTAGTATATCCTTCTGTGAGAACAGTAATAAATCTGTTTAAAGTGGGTATTTGTGATTGCTGTTAACATTGTGTAAGACTGCTCCAGAAAGATGCACCTTATTTTTATTATGTGACTTATCCTTATGTCTGTACACTGTTAACCCATCTTTGTTAGAAAAGCACTTGTGTTTCAAAGTTAACACCTCATACTACTATCCTGTAGTGTGTTCGTTATCCAAACTGACTTTTTAACGGAAGGACTACAATCATTAAACAATTAGAACAGCCCTTATTATAAGGTCCAAAAATAACTATTGTTTCTCTTATTTTTAATAATGGTTATTTCCAACAAAAAATTTATTAATTGGCATGTTGGTATTATTAATGTATTAGTTTGTTCAGTATGTTTTTATGTAAATTATGTTTCTGTGTTCTTTGTTGCATATTAAGTATGTTCTATGTGAAATATCCTTTTCAGCAGGATGAAGTTAAAGGAAGTAGATCGCACTGCCATGCAGGCATGGAGTCCTGCCCAGAATCATCCCATTTACCTAGCTACAGGTAAGCTCAAAGGAAAAAATAGAATGAGTAACCTAATCTCTTCTCTATCTGGTTTATTTGTATTTGACCTTTAAGGTTCTGTTCAAGCCTCATCTCTGGAAAACCTCACCTTCCCTGGCAAGATTCTTCTATCAGATGAGTTCAGTGACTTTCCGCTTGTTCCCATAGCACCCTGTGCATCATAGCTGATGTGAAACATATATAGTGTCTTCCCACTTCACAGGGATTGTGTTTTGCTCATCTTTATTCCACTAATATTAAGCACAATGACTGACATGATAGTTCATACATATTAATTGGAATGAATAAAGAGCAATTCTGATTCACTTGTGAATCAGTGCTTTTATGTAAAAAGTGTTAGATTTATATCATCATGAGTATAAGCAAATACAGTAAATCATGGTACTGTTTTTATACAGAATCTTAAAAAATCTGTAATAGGCTTAAATAATAATCTATACTATCCTTACAAGAAGCCCTGGTGTGGCACTGCGGGTTAATTCACTGGACTGCAAAGTCGGTTTGAACTGCAAGGTTGGCAGTTCTAGCTCACCAGTTGCTCCTCGGAAACCCTATGCAGGGTCATTATGAGTTGAGATTGACTCAATGGCACTTAACAGCAACCCTTACAAACTACCTTTACAAGTATCACCTCCCAGTTTTATGTAATTGTGTCAGAATCGCATTGCTATTGTAATAAAGTATCTGCTCAATGACATATATACTGAGATTTCAGCTGCTAATGCAGCATCCATGGGCGAGATAATAGAACAACAAGTTTTTAATTTAGTTTTTGTGTTGTTTACTCTGAGTTATTTATTTTTGTATGTGTTGTTACCATAACTGTATTTTCTATAGGAACATCTGCTCAGCAATTGGATGCAACGTTTAGTACCAACGCTTCCCTTGAGATATTCGAATTAGACCTTTCTGATCCATCCTTCGATATGAAATCTAGCGCCACTTACTCTTCTTCTCACAGGTAAGAGGTTTAGCTTTAAATTTATGTGGTTATTTAATGGTGGTCAATTTTATAGGTGATCCTTAGTTTGTCTATAATTGTGCCATAGTTAGAAATTGCAGGGAATGCCACCAGTGACATGAACATGAAGTATTTTGTGAAAAACTAAGAGAGCGTTTTTTTTTAAGTAAAATAAGTGTTTATATATTTTATTGACTTTATTTTTGCTGACTGTTACATATAGGCTAAAAAAGACTCCAGTTTCTAGTTTTTTTTTTGTTGTTGTTTTTTTCTCATGCTATAGTGGAGTTACTTTTTTCCAGTTTCCTTTGTTTCACCTATTTACCAGAAAGGCTCACTATGATTAGAAAACAGACTAGATGGATATATATATACTAAACTTTTAATAGTAAAAATTTTATACTGTACTGGTGAGTAGAAGAGGGGAAAGGCAGAAATGAAGAAAATGGGCTGAGTTCAACCACGGTCCATTGAATCCCATTGACCAGGAGATGAGAGAGAGAAGAGGAAAGGCTGGTATAAAAAAAAATTATACTAAAGTTATAATAGTAAAAAAAATTCTTGTAGAGAATTTTAATTTTCTTCTCTGTGCTTTATATTTAAAATTGTATTTCATAGGCTTTGTTGACATGATTTCAGTAGGTATTTGGAACCACGTTTCTAAGTACTTATGTCTTATGATATTGTAGGTAAAGGACATTTTCATTTCAGTCATAAAATAAGCTTTATTGCTTTCAGTAGTATGATAGATTTTGGTCAAAAGATCTTAGCTAACAAGTCATATTCTTTTTCTTTTTTTTTCAATTTAAGGTTTTTATTGTGGATTGAGTGAAAGTTTACAGGGCAGATGATCAGTTTTACATTCAACAAATCATACACCTTGTTTGATTACAATGATTATAATCTTCTCCATACACCATCAGTTAACAGTATTTCTCTCTATCCACTTTAGCTTTTTTAAAACAATCAACAACAATAAACTACATTATGATAAATGGAAAAAAACAAAACAAAAAAAACAACAAAAAAACCCTCACCTAGGCATATATAATAATTTACATCTCCAAAGGGCACATTCTACAAGTCTGCCTCCCAGCCACCAACAATTAGTCCCTCTCTTCTTAGTGCATGAATCTAGAGTCCTCAGCCACTCCCCCTCTCCATGTCTCCATCTCTGGCGCTGCTGCTTCTCTGGATAAGGCCCCGCATTCTGCTTATGTGCTTCTCTCTTGATGGTCCTAACGTCCTGTTTCTGGACTGTAAGATTAACCACTCCCCTGTTTTTGTTACAAAACTTCTACCTTTACAATTGTGACAGTTGCAGTTATTCACTATTGAATCATACAAATCTTATCCCCATTTCTTTTCACCACATCCATCTAGACAAGGTGACAGCTATTTAGTGGGGACTCTTTCTTTCTCCCCATACTCTTAAACTAAACTCCCTCTTGAAACCTTGTAAGCCAGTCACTTTGTGCTTTTATTGCTCCCTCATTTTAGGTAGCCAGTGTCTAAGTAGCCCTTCCCTATCTACCTTGTGCACAGAGAGGATAGCATTGATACTTGATGTGAAGACTCCCTCTCTGTTGGTATTTAGAGTAACTACCTCTGAGTGTAGGTCAGGTTCATCAAATATAGTAATTTACCCTTGTTTCCTTTAACAAACAAACAAACAAAATTGTTTTTTTCAGTCTTCATCTAGTCGAGTTCTGATTATCGAGCCATCAAGGCTAGGTCAAAAGGGTACTTGTACGCAAGTTTGGGTGTTCTTGTACATCTCCTCTCACTTCGTATCAGCTGGATGCTTCAATCTCAGCTCTAGCCCTCTGTGGTTAAGTCCTTGTCCATTGGCTCAAGTGTCCTCAGGTCTCACCACACTTTGGACCAACCAGCCCTTCCTCTTCTCTCTCTCATCTCCTGGTCAGTGGGATTCAATGGACTGGGTTGAACTCAGCCCATTTCCTCATTGATAATTTTCCCTGTATTCCACTCACTAGTAGACCAATGTGGTTGCCAGCAAGCTTACATGCTTGTTTGTATGTTCCCTTTGAGTTTCAGTCTTAGAGGGGAATTGGTCCTGAAGGAACTTGATTGCTAGCCTTGATGTCTTCCTGGCGAACAGCTTGCTGGTTCTTGTAGTAGCCAGTCATGCTGACATTTTTGTTTTGGGTTTTTCCTCATGATCTTTCTTTGAAGATGTATCTTCTGTCACTGTAGCTGTTCCAGGCTGGTCTGCTTATCCTTTCTAGTGGGAATGTCCCACCTCATGAGGTTCTGGATGGGACTCAGGATTCCTTCCACCTAAGGTCCTGTACGCTACAAAGGCTATGCAAGAGGCCTGTTTCACTGGGCAATTTTAGAACCCCTTTGAGTATTCTAATCAGTTATAGGCTGAAGACGGACTTACAAGTTTTCTCTAATCATGTTTCCCACCATTTCTTTCTATCCCACTCAGGTGTCTATTTTACAGTAGTACGCAAGGGAAACGAATATTCAAAAGGCAGTCAAGCATTTTAGTATTAGTTCGCTTCTTAAAGCTACACCTAGATCCCTTTATCCCTGAACACTGTTGTTCCATGATTGAGCATGCATCACTATTTACCTCTGTCCCACTTAGGCCATGCAAACCTGTCTCAGTGTTCCCCTACTTTTTCTAACGCGTCCTTCCCCCTTCTTGTATTGCTCTTCCCAACACCCAAACTAAACCCCCACCCCAACCCCATTGTGGTTACCTTATATTCCATTAGTTCTTCCCTCCATTTAAGACAGTCTGTTTTTATCCTACAATCTACCTGACCTTTCTACCACCTGGGTCTCTGTTCGTCTGTGTTTACCTTCTTTCACATTGTAATAGTTTTGATCATAGACTAACCTTCCAGATCCTCTGTTCTTATAATTTTATTCTGTTCTTGACTCTTCCATTTGTTGATTGAGTTCAGGGTGATGGTTACACGTACGTCATTCTGTAGTTGTTGTCTGTTCTTGTTGGTTCTCAGTCCACAGAACTTCGTTTAAGATGTTTTTAATAGCAGAGTTGGCTTTGGCAAAATCCCTTAGCTTCTGTTTATCCTGGAATGTTTTGATTACACCGTCGTATTTGATTGACAGCTTTGCTGGGTAGAGGATTCTAGGGTTGCTGTTTTTTCTTTCAGAGTATTATATATAGCTCCCCATTGTCTTCTTTCCTGCATGTTTTATGTTGAGAAATCCGAACTTAATCTGATTTGCTTGCCTTTGTATGTTACAGTTCTTGTTTCCCTAGCTGCTTTCAGGATCCTGTCCTTA